CCCCCCCACCACGGCCTGGCTGGCCAGGGTCATTTGATGGCCAGCGGGGCCTTTGGCCGGCAGCCGGGGGGCTCTTCTTTCACTCCTCCCAGTTGCCCTCCTTTCCCAGGTCAGCACCCTTGCGCAGGCCCTCTGCACCCCAACCGGGGAGAGGAGCAGAGCAGCAGTCTGGGGCTGGAGACCGCCTCGCGGCGATCCGGGAGGGTCCCAGGGCAGGCATTGCCCTGCCCGGCACCTTTGTGCCTCCCTCTGGACTCCCCTGGCCAGCTCGAGCCTTCAGAGGCTGCTCCCGAGAGAGTGGAGAGAGGAGGATTCCTCGCTGGGCTGTCCTGCGGTGGAGGATGGGTGTTGTTTCTCTCCCTCCTGCTTTTGCTTGGCTCACTGCCGAACTCTCAGTGGGGCCCTTCTTTCAGTCCCGCAGTCCAGGGAAGAAGAGGTGAGGGGCAGAAGGGCTTCTCTGTGCTTCCAGGGAGCTCCTGGGATTCACACTTTCCCACCATTGTGACAGCACGGCTTTAAACTACTTCCTTCCTTAGGCTGCCTTTTTTATTTAAACAATAACGTTTATTCGCTTGCCATCCAAATACTGGGGACAAGTATGTGAAAGAGTCTCAGACAACACCTCCCTAATTCACAGGAGTATAAGAAGCAGGGGGGGGAGGTAAAGCGCAGTCAGATGTGCAAGGTTGATGTCAGTCCCACGATGGAGACCAGACGAAGAAATCAACCCCAGAAGGCTAAACTACCTTTGCTAAGATTGGCTGTACAGTAGCAAAATCTCTGACTGTGCTTTTCCTCCTCCCCCCTATACTCCTGTGAATTAGGGAGGTGTCCGTCTGAGACAGTTTTCCATACCTTCTGCATGACTTGGACTCCAGTCACGTTTTTTGCCTTGCTGCTTTGGTAGGGGATCTTGCCCGCCTCCACGAAAGTCGTCTTCTTTGCTCTCCGCGGGGGGAGGAACAGTGTGGGGCCTTGTTCTAGGTGGTCCCCAGTCCAACCCGAACCAGAGGTCTGCTGCTGCTCAGGAGGGGTGGGAAGAAGGCACCTGCGAGGGCCCACGGAAGTTGGCCTGCGATGCCGAACCACGAGGGGAGGAATCCTGTTCCAGGGGAAGGGCCAGGAATCCTGCCAAGCTCCTATGTGGCCTTCAGAGGCAGGAGCCAGCTACAGTGGTACCTCGGTTCACGAACTTAATTCGTTCCACGATTCTGGTCGCGAACTGAATTGGTCGTGAACCGAATCAAGTTTTCCCATAAGGTTCAATGTAAATACGGTTAATCCATTCTGAACCGTATGTATTTTTTTTTTAAACCACAAAAACATGACGTAAAATACAGTACAGTACAGTATGAAGAGAGAGAAAACTAACCTTGCTCGAGGCGACTTCTGGCGTGGAGGACAGGAAGGCGGGTGGGGAGGCGGTTATTTCTTGGAGGGAGAGTCCCCCTCCCTACAGGAAGCCACAACCACGTGTCACAGCAGGGAAAATGGCCATGGGTCGTGTTCGTCACCCGATGCAGAGTTTGCGAACGGAAGCAAAATTTTGCAAACGGTGCTGTTCGTGAACCGAATTGTTCGTGAACAGAAGCGTTCGTGACCTGAGGTATTACTGTACATGGCCAGCAGCAGGCAGGCGGGGGGGTTGCGGTGGGGGCCTGACCCTTGCCCTTGCCCTTGCCCTTGCCCTTGCCCTTGCCCTTGCCCTTGCCCTTGCCCGCCAAATGAACCCACCCATTGTGGGGAGCCTTAATCTGGTTTCTGGTTTGGGCATCCTATCTCAGGTGAAGATGGTCGCTGTGTACTGTTAATCCAGTTTGGGAGTTTAACATCCTGTGTGAACCCCGCCAGTGTGAGATGGGGGGGTGGCTTGTGCTAAGGACCCTTCGTCTTTGGGTGCCGTTCTTTGCACACAGAAGCCTCTGGGTTCAATCCCAGACTTTTGCGAGTCAACCTGCGCGTGGCCCCTGAAAACTTCAGGGGTCTTAAGGAATTCTTGAAAGTGTGATTGCAATAGAAGGGAAGAGCTCCTTACAGACAGAGCTGGGGAGTCATCCTGGTATCTCTGCTTGCTTTTCCTTCAAGCTAAATCCTGGCTTTCTCTGGCCTGCCCTCCCTCCCTCTGCTTTTGGATTGCCCAGACGCCCTCAAAGCCAAGCGTGGATTTGGGTTCCCCGGTAGGCAGCCTGCGCTCAGTGGGAGACGTCGAGGGCTCCCCACGCTGAGGGCCTCTGCTGCGGCTCAGGAATCCCCCGGGTGTCTTCCCCGTCCCCTTTGCTTGTCACTTTCATCTTCTGGCCGCGCCGGGTCCTGATGCTCTGATGCTGGTTTATTTCCAGCTTTCTTTCTCTTCCCGAAAGCCGCCAACTCCCTCACCCTGTCACTGTGCTGCCAGCTCCAGGGATCTGGCCCGGGGGCCTGCCACCACCAGGACATCCTGGGTGCCAAAGCTTTGAGCCCTACGGGGAGCAATTAAGCACAACAGGAGAAGCAGTGCTCGGGAGCTGGGCAGGATGCGGGCGAGGCAGAGAGCAGACTGGGTTCAGTGACCGTTCTTGGTAACTGCCAGAGTTGTCTGGAGCACAGATGTTTCTTTGTGAACCTCGTGGGCCCTTCGGGGTGGTTTTCTGGCAGTTTGTAGCAGCAGCTGGCCCTGCCTTTCTCCAGGAGGGAGGTTTTCTCGGTGTCCCACGCTGGCCCAGAGCTCTTCCCATCCAGATGCTAACCGGATCCAGCCCTGTTTCGGCTGCCTACGTGCCGCCCCCTGCTGAGATGTAGAATAAACGTAGAAATACATTTTAAGAACCAACGGAATGAATCCAGTGTGGACACATATGTGTTGTGTGCCAAAACCAGAGCTTTGCTCGCACCGTCGCAGCCGCCACGTTGACTTTTTTGACCAGGTCCCACTGGTCTGAGCAGCTCAGGGCTGGCACGCTGCGTGGCTGGGTTGGTTGGGAGTTTTGGGCGCTTCAGTGCCCCGCTGGGTGACCTCATTGGTGCAGGAGACGGGAGGCTCCCCATTCGGCCGGAACCTGTGTCCCGGCATTGCCTCTGCCCGCATGAGGAGGGGTGGTCCGTGGGCAGTGTGGGAAGCCTCGTGGCCGGCAGGTTCCTTACTTGGCGGGTGGGGCAGAGCTTCCGTCTTTTCTGGGCGTTCGTTGTTCCTGCGGATGGGTGGCGTGGGCCGCTCCCTGGCGGTGATGGGCTTGGGTTATTAGGCTGACCGGGAGAGGGCTCTGGTTTACCTTCATGGACGTGTGTAATGGGCTAATGCTGGATCTCTGCTGGCGAGCTTTGATAGGCCCACGGGTAGAGTTGGAGTCTGCGTGTCTGTTGATCGCTGCTTGGGGGGGCGACCACCTTCTGGGCTTCTCCAAAACACCCGTGTTGGGGATGCTCCTGGGCGGGAATGGAGCATCTGCAGGGCAAAAAAACCAGGCCGGAGAGCTCCCAACTGTGCACGGAAGCTCTTTCCTGCTGAGGCAGTTCCTGGGACTGAGGAAGGCGCATTTCCCCCCAGGATGACCTTCCTCCCGTCCTCCAAGCCCTCGCCCCATGGCTCCCCACCTTTTCCTGGAGGCGACTCCCAGCGCAGGTGTGCGGCAGTCACCTCAGGGGTGCTGAGGGCCAGAGCAGCACGTGGAGACTGTCACCTTGCAGGCACCATCCTCTCCCCGAGGGACCTCTGGGCCCAGGGCGGCTTCTGCTAGCCATCTTGGCTGCTGGATCTGCTCCGGCCGGATGGCACAGCTGAGCCATGGGCATCCCCAGCGGGCTTCCGGGGCTTTTCTTTGGCTCTGTGTGCAGCCGGCTGGCCCTCATCTGGGGGTCATCCTTCACCGCTTACCACAACTCCAGCTCTCCTCCCACGAGGAAGCCTTGGCTGAACCAGGCGGCCCCCTGAAGGGGACGCGCACCCTTGCCTGGTTGCAGCTGGCAGCTGCCCCAAGCAGTGCCTGCTCTGTCAACATCTGGCACTGATGGGTTCTTTTTCTTCCACCCTGAAGGCAAATGCAAATTGCCCCACCCTGAGCCATGCTGGGTCCACGCGCACGGTCAGCGAGTGCAGCCCCTTCTCCGAGATAGCCATGAACAGCTGCAGGCACAATGGGGGAGCCATCCGACCGCTCAGCCACTTGGGCGCCTCCCCCCGCCACCTGCACGATCTGGATGCTGAGACGCAGCCCCTGCAGACTTTCCCCGACTCCGGCTTGGAGGTGGTGGTGGCCAAGACCGATCGTGTCAAGGGCTCGGACCCCCAGCTGGATGGAAGGGTGGAGGGGGCCGGGTGGCGCAGCCACCGCCACAAGAGAAACCAGAACATTGGCCACCGGCTGGGCCACCGGCGAGCTCTCTTTGAGAAACGCAAGCGGCTGAGCGACTATGCCTTGATCTTCGGCATGTTTGGCATCGTGGTCATGGTGACAGAAACCGAGCTGTCCTGGGGCATCTACTCAAAGGTAAGGGTCTGCTGACCGGATGGGACACACCTGGAGCAGGCGGTGGGTGAGTCCTTGGGGAGGCCAAGCCCTGAAACTCTTCCGGTGGCCACCATCTCGTTGTCCTTGTGTTGCAGTGAGATGGTTGCTGTGATGTTGGGCAGGGTGCCCTCGAAGGTTGGGGTTGTGGGGTCCACCTCTGGTGAGAGCCTTTGATCAGACCTCTGACTCTAAGAGGGTCGAACCGGGTGGCCCCTTTCAAGCTGCTGGCGATTCCTTCAAACTCTTTCAGCCAGGGTTTCCCAGCTATGTTGGATGCCAGTTTCAGAATTTCCTTGAATTTCCAACTTCAGGTTGGGGAAGGCTGCCTTAACAATTTGGGGCTGGGGTCTCTCACCCTCCTCACCAGGGCAGAATCCCAGACCCACTGAATCCTTAAATTGAGGTCATGCAGTCCAACCTGCTGCTCAATAGGGGCGTCTGAATTGAAGCGCCCCCCGAAGATGAGCATCTGGTTTGTGCACGGACACATCCAGGGAAGGCAGCCGCCATCTCTGGGTCGTTGGCTCAACGGTGAAGCTGCTGTTGCACAGAAATGGGCTTGTTCGACTCCAGTTGAAGAGCAAGTAAAATATAGTAAATGCTCCCCCAATCAACAGTGTAATGAATTTAAAAAATTACAAATCACCGAGGAACCTTGATTCAAAATAATTACTCCCCACTTTCTGCGGGGGGAACCCCACTCAACCTCCGCGCAGCCCTTCCTGGAAAAGCCAGATCTTAATGGCCTTCCTACACGCCAGCAGGACTGGTGCTGCTGGATCCCAGGCGGGGGGCAGGGGGATGTTTCAGCAGCAGCCGAGGGACCCTGAGGGAGCCCTCCCGGCCAGGTCTCGCTGGACCCTCAGAAGCCCTGGGGGCAGGATCTCCTGAGCCATGGAGGTGGCCCCAGCAGCTTGAGCTGCCCCAGGATCCAGTGCCACTCCCAAAGTAGAGGGGCTGGGGGGAGAAGGCAAAACTTGTTCAGTCAGGCTTATGTGGACACTGTTCACCCCTCCCTCCCTCCCTCCCTTCCTCTGCTTCCACCCACGGGCCTCTGGGGCTTGGAGCTTCTCCCCCTAGCCTGCTCCTCAACTTCACCCCCAGGACTTCTTTCCTTTCTAGATGGCCAGCCCAGCTCAGCCCCCCTCTTTCACGGATACCCCAATATGGAGAAGCCTGCTCTTCGCTGCCCCGTACAGTCTAATACTCGTTGCAGATCTTTCAGGTTCTCAGCCAACGTGTTTTACTTCCCTCTTAGAGCACCTTTGCTACCTTCAGCAACCAACGTTCGACTCCGTGTTTGTGCAAAACCTTTTATCAAGCCTATTCGCTTTGTCACATGAATCAGCAAAGGTACAAATGCCCTTTTCGCTCACATCCGGGTATTCCTGACCCGCTGGAGCGCAGAAGCCTGGCCAGCCCAGCAAAAGTCGCGTGGCGTTTCCCCGATTTCGTTCCTCGCCTCCTCCCGTCAGAGTTCGGCCAAGGACCTCCCAGGCACAGCGGGAGGAAGCCTGCAGCCCCTGCGTTGCCACGGGCTCCGCTCTGTCCCTGCGTGGCGAGGAACGGGAGCCGCTCTCTTCCCGTCCTCAGCTCCAGAGGCGTCTCCGCGTGCACGTGGCACGAATCACGCAGCCTCTCCGTAAGCATGCCGCACGCCCGTGCTTCTTCAGTCACACCGCCCACATTCGCAGCCTTCCTGTTCTTCAGCTTGTCTGACTTCCATCATTTTTCTGTGGGGATTTTCCTCTTTCGCTTCGTCATGCCACCAACTTTCCTTTTTCATACTGCTCTTCGGCACAGCTCCCCACGCTTCTGTGGCACTCGGCAATGGACTTTTTTCATCCCATTTGCATGGGAGGTTATTATAACGCCTGGTGCTGTTTTGTACAATAGAGCATTTTCTCTTGCTGCAATCATTCCCCTTTCGCTCCAGTTTCTTTTGCTGCTTCTCTCTTCTTCTACGGGTGTGTATATGTATGCGTGTGTGTCTATACACACACACACACACACACACACACGTATGCTACTAAATCCTGGTCTGCCCCACCTTCAGGACCCCCCATTGCCTTTTTATCCTTCGCTAATTCTGTCCTTCATTCTTGCGTCTTCGAACGGCCCAGGCGCTGTTTCTGCATTCTCTCGTCTTCTTTGCGCCCATCCATTCACGTCACCTAACAGAATAACTTTTGCCCCTGGATTCCTCCATCCAGAACG